TGCCCCAATGTCTTACCTTTCAATAGGAGAGTGGCCACCACCCAAAGGGCTTCATTTACATTTATGTTGTTTTTTAGAAAGTTCCCTATTCCGAGCAAGGTGTCTTTCACATTCTGCAGAAGTCTCTGACCACTGCATTACTTGTACCTTTGAAAAAGATAGAGCCTGGGTGGCTCATTTGGTTAAGCGACTGCCTTCCACCCTGGTCATGGTCCTGGAGTCCTGGGATTGAGTCCCACATCGGGCTCCCAGCTTGGCAGAAGTCTGCTTCTCCCTCTGACCTCTTCTGTCTCATGCTTTCTCTCTCTCTCATTCTCTCTCCCTCTCAAATAAATAAAATCTTAAAAAAAAAAAAAAAAGATATAGCTAAATTCAAGAAAATGAGCTAAATAAACTGGACATTATTTCACATTATTTGTCCTTTCATTGCACTCTATCTTCCTGTTAGTTTCAACTCAACAAATAATTTGAGTCCAGAGGTAGATCTATTTGATGGACACAACTGTAATAGAATCGTGATTGCTTATGTTAAAAAAGCTAGCCCAAAGGTTGTTGTCCTTCTGTACACTGTTGTGGGAAAGGTTAAAGGTAGGAAGTGTTTAAGTCTCAAAAGTAACTCAATAATCCTTACCAAAATGATTAATGTTTTTCTTCACTGATGAACCAGTAATCGTTTAGTGTTATTAGTATTTAGTATTGTTACATCTCTGTTCCTGCTAAATGAAAAATTCATGTACTCTGGTATCAGAAAAACCTGAGAAGCTTGTGAATGATTCAGATTCCTGCCCTCCACCCCCACTCCAGATCTACTAAATCACAACCTTTGGTTGGATTTTTTTCTTTTGTGCTTTTTAAAAAGATCTTCCCAGGAGGGGTGCCTGGCTGGCTCAGTCAGTAGAGTACGGGACTCTTAATCTCAGGAGTTGTGAGTTAGATCCCCACATTGGGCAAAGAGTTTACATTAAAAAAGAAACAGATAAAATAAAATCTTCCCAGGAGATTCTTTTTTTTTTAAGATTTTATTTATTTACTTGACAGAAATCACAAGTAGGCAGAGAGAGGGAGAAGCAGGCTCCCTGCCGAGCAGAGAGCCCGATGCAGGGCTCGATCCTAGGACCCTGAGATCGTGACCTGAGCCGAAGGCAGAGGCTTAACCCTCTGAGCCACCCAGGCGCCCCTTCCCAGGAGATTCTGATGCATACTAACGCTAGAGAACTTTGATGTAGATAAAACCACTGGTTGCTTTATTTTTTATATTTCAGCAAAGTGAACATTGTGTCAGTTCAACTTCAGTTTGCCCTTAAGCTGTTTTCAGGCAAGTTAGGCCTTGGTACTTAAGCAAAGTTTCTTAAGAATCTTTGTACAAAGGGAAAGTTCTATTCATAATTTCAAAGTCCAAGAAATTTCCAGTGAGCAAAATGAAAATTAAAGTTGGATGATAAAAACAGAACTTGACACTAGAGTTTTTCAAAGACCATGTTAGCATTTTATTTTTCTATTCCTGACACTCAAATTCATAGGGGGTGAATGATAATAGAACAAAATCAAAATAACATACAAACACAATTCAATTCAAGAACATTTAACCATCAGTCGTAGCTGTTCTTTATAAAATACATAAAGGTAAACAGAAACATCTTTATATAAATTATGCTTAACAATCTGTATACACTGTGAAACCATTGTTAAAATCCACACTGAGATGCTAGTGCAAGCAGTGGTATACAAAAGTGCAAACAAGGTTAATGATAAAAAGAACTTAGACTGACTTACCATTCAACATACTCTATATTCAGTCAAATACTGAAGTCCTCATTACAGAAAACACTTTGATCACTTTCAAAGTAACGTGACTACATTCACCCTGAGTGCTCTCACCTCAGTATGGCAACTGTATGATGATGAGTTCAGGTTAGGAGTGGCACCAGGGAACAAAGAAACCCATGTGAAGTTGGCCATTCTGATGTGAATCTCTATACTTGATAATGAAAACAATTCCAAAGACCACTTGTATGTCAAAAGCTGTAGAACTATCACCCCCTTTCCCCCAAAATATTTAAAATTGAAATTAATTCAAATTCTCCTTCCCTTAAAGAAGAATTCATCCACTTCAGTGAAGCTTTTCCAAAAATAACTTGGCGTGAAATCACTCAAAAGGCTTTTCCATTTCTGCCCTAAAATCTATTTGGGGCAAGGATGCTCCTTCAACAAAGTTTACTTTTTTATTTTTTAAAAGGTTTTATTTATTTGGCAGAGAGACACAGCAAGAAAGGGAACACAGGCAGGGGGGAGTGGGAGAGGGAGAAGCAGGCTTCCCACTGAGCAGGGAGCCCAATATGGGTCTCTATCCCAGGACCCTGGGATCATGACCTGAGCAGAAGGCAGACACTTGACTGAGCCACCCAGGCGCTCCATAAGTTTTACTTTGGATAAATTTGCTTAGTGTGATTATTTTTGATTCTTTTAAAACTGTAGTCAGGGACGCCTGGGTGGCTCAGTTGGTTAAGCAGCTGCCTTCAGCTCGGGTCATGATCCCGGTATCCTGGGATTGAGTCCCACATCGGGCTCCTTGCTTGGCAGGGAGCCTGCTTCTCCCTCTGCCTCTGCCTGCCACTCTGTCTGCCTGTGCTCACTCTCGCTCCTCTCTCTTTGACAAATAAATAAATAAAATCTTAAAAAAAAAAAAACAACTTAAAAAAAAAAACCTGTAGTCAAAGCCCTGAACATTCAATCAGTGGTATTAAATGCATTAATTACTTAATGTTCTAAATTATGAGAACAAAAATTTATTGGTTCAGAGCTACATCTTCAATATGACTCTTTAGTGACTCTGTAGATTCCCTTCATACTTTAAAAAATATTTTTCTTAGTTATTTATTAGAATGAGAGAGAGAGCATGAGAAGGAGACAGGTCAGCAGGAGAAGCAGACTCCCTGCTGAGCAGGGAGCCCAATGTGGGACTCCATCCTGGGACTCCAGGATCATAACCTGAGCCGAAGGCAGTCGCTTAACCCACTGAGCCACCGGGGTGCCCCCTTCATACTTTTTATCCAGGTGTGGTGTGGAAGTGTGAGAGAGGGATGGTTCTAGGGACCAAGAGTAGATACATGGTTTTAACAAAATCCCAATCACTTTGCACAGAGACACAGTCCCATAATCCAAGACCTGTTCTTTCCTTCCTTTTTTGGGGGAGGGGGGTTAAAAAAGCACTAATTTGCATTTCAAAAGACCAGCGATGGAAGCCATCAGAAGGATACCATATAGCTTTGAGAATTTAGACCTTCATTGAAGATATACTGTTTTCTGAACGCTTAGATTTATAGCAAAAAATAGTAAAGGTTCATAGAAAACCTTTAATGCACCATTAATTTTGCATTAAGGAATTTTTATTTGCTCATCCCTATTTTTTTCATGCTTTCTTGGAAATTTTTGGAACCTTCACCAACTTTTACATAGGTTTAAATTGATCCAAACAATATATTCTAAGTAAAATGAACACAAGATATTTTGAGAGCATTTCCTTCATATTAGTTATTCTCATTGTAGTCTGGTGAAAATTTGGCAATAAATCCTTGCAAACTTGAATCACATAACTATCAAGACTGAAATGCCATACTGAGTCACAACCAATACAGTTTCACAACATGTAAACCCTTCTCCTGATACTCTCAAATCATGTCAGCTAGAATTACACTGTTTTTAATGATGGAACTTGTGAAAATGAGGTGTTTTGAATGTGACTGATCAAATCATTTTGCAGAAGGCAAGAAGCAGTATTATCACAGCTATTACCTTATTTTAATGATTTTGCAAGTTTATGTGCTGGAAAGTACTAGGAAGAAGTGTGAGCTGGTTCAAAACTCAGGAAAAGAAACAACATTGTAAACCACAGTAAATGTGTATATACATATAAGCATACAAAACTAAAACTGACATCTATGCAGGCAGTATCTGGATTCATACATCTTTGGCATTCAAAGATACTGGGTCAACCATGCCAATGGTGAAGATTTTTTTTTCATATCAGAAAATGTCTTGCCCCAATTTTAAAAAATGCTATGCTCTCTCCATTCTAAAAATTCACTGAGCTAAAGACAAACTGGAATCAGTTTAAAAAGTTACCCGAAAATACAATTAACAGCAATCCTTGAAAGAGGTATGGGGTTGAGTGTTTCATTAAAATGAGAAATATAGGCTGAGATCTTGTTTTTTAGAGCTGTAGACTAAAGATTTTAATGTATCTTTTGAGCAGTGCCTGATTTATATGGAATCCAATCTTGTATACATTTTCACAACTTATGGTAAAAGGTACAAAATTAATCTATGTCCCCAATGCTACAATTTACCCCCAAAATACTGAACAGGCGCACATACTTGCACAAGCACGTAGAGAGTACATGTTTTCCCCATGTGCTTTCACTTTTTCTTGCACTTCTCTTAATATGCTTCTCTTGAAGGGGAGCAGTGACTCAATGGATGTGTTCAGAGGAGCTGGAAGAGCGAGATGGTAAGCCCAATGACTAGGGCCCATCTCCCCAGAGCTGGGATAAAAGCCACTTGCTGCTATGTGCAGCTTCATTTCTGAACATTCAGGCCATAAGAATTTCTCATCATTGGGAAAATAGCCACAGTTTAGTTGTGGTCCACAATTGACTTTAATTCTATGATCCCAGTGTCAGAACTAGAATGAGAATTCTGGAATGATATATTTTGTACCAGAAAGCATTTCTCCACTTCAGAGAAATTAGGAGGGTTTTTTTCCTTTATACCAATTTATGATACAAGTAATTGATTTCACAATATCACAATATAAGGAAATACTTGAAGAAAATGCAATGTCCTTCTAGGTGCTCAAGATAGATACCAACAAGAGACAGTTACTTTTAATAAGGCCTAGTTCTGTTTAGTCAGGATATTAGAAGTACTTGATTTATTTTTCATTCGTTTAAGTAATCTTTACATCCAGTGTGGGGCTTGAACTCACAACCCCAAGGTCAAGTCAAATGCTCCATAAAATGAGCCAGTCAGGTGCCCCTAAAAGTGAGTACTTGAATTACACATGGCAAAATAAACCAACAGGTTGATATGTCATCTCCTCCTTTTCCCATGATGCTAGTGATGATTCTAAGCAGGGAAGAAGCTCTTATTTTCATTTGAAAGAAACAGAAGAGCCATATTACTAAAACCAGAGGTCATGTTGAAATAACCTTGTTGATTTAGCTAACTGGTGATTCCTTCCAGTCATATCCCTTAATCCTTAATCTGTCTCAGATGTTCCATTATTAATGATAGAACTAGAGTAACTGATTTGGAAAAGAGCTAAAGAAAACACTAATTCTGATATTAAAATTATTCTTTATGGAATGGAGCAATCTATTCTCAATGGAACTAGTTAAATATACTATAAAATCCTGGTTTATAACCAAGAGAGAACTAACTCTCTTAAGTTTGAGTCTTTAAAAATACATATTTGGCACTTATCTTTCAGCTTATTTTAGTAATTATGGGAATCTCAGAACCTAATGGAAAAGAATTACTCAATTTCTTAGAAAATTAAAGTGCTCTAAAAGCTACCTAAAACATTAATCTATCAGTGAGGCTTGCAGATGCTATCACACAGCAGGCATTACTTGTAAAAACAAAAAAGACTTTGTGCTATAAATATAAAGTAAGAGCTGACAGCAATTAAGAAAAAAGAAAATCGAACACAAGCATTCATTTATTTCTACTGAGAAATAAAATATGCCAAACAATGCAAAAGACCTATAGGACAGGATCAGAATCCCCACGCAGCTCAGACGGCAGAACAGGCTTCCTTTCTCCTCACACAGGCCTCTACAATGAAACTACGCACAAGGTGCTGTGCTACCTGTTGCATCATTATGTAAAAGGGAGTGGGGAGTACCTCTAAATGTGGGGACACTGGTGCCCGTCACTATTTTTGGTGAAAAGGCACAAATGACCAAACTGGGCACCGGTAAGTTGGAATACTTCAGAATCAGACAACTGGAATGGAGCTATAGGCCTGTCAGACCCCAAATTAACCCTGTGTTGTACCAGAAGATGTGCTTTTCTTCAAGAGACCAATCCCACAGAAACTAGGAGGTGGATCCCATCAGCATTAATCATGGTAGCATTACTGTGACAAATACACGCGATGCAGAGAGAAATGTGGTGTAAGGTGGAACCAAACACAGTGTGTCTTCTGGTAAATGCAAAAGCTTCTAGAGATTTACACATTATCCTAAAAATTCTGAAGTGGTCTCCTTGCCCCACAACCCCCTCATACGTATGTTATTAAATGCTCAAAATGTCAGAACATACTAGCTAGATAAGACACATTAAAATGAAACACCTGCCCAACAAAGATGCCAAACATCAGGGTGTGTTTTATTGCATGACGTTTGCATAAGAAAAAATATTATTGAAAACTGTAAGGCATCATGCAATCATCAATAACCTAATTATTAACTGTACACTTAAGATAGGTGGACATATAATCTAAAATTTAAAAACTAGTTCCAAAATAGTACATAAAAATTTAACATGATGAGCTTTTAAACATGGTTTGTATTTGTAGCTTCACGTTGTTAAAAAGTGCTTCAAATGTACTGCTGGAAAGTTGTTCTTTATAAATGGCACTGGGGATAATGTCAGATTATAAACTGTATAAACTATTTTTATGGAATTAGAAAGCTAACATTGTGATACTCAAACTTGAATCAGTTTTCGATTTGCACTCAAATTAAGTTGATATAATATTAATAATCTAAAAAAATCTGTTTTCTAACCAACAAAAGTCTATTGAATTCAAGTTATGCATGTTGAATGGATCAAATCTATGAGTAGGCCTGAATGGTGAGACCTGGAACCGATGCAAGTGGTTGTTAATCAATGTACTGTGCCATCCAACGGAAACCTTCTCCGTAACCTTGCCTTTTGAGCACACTGCACATGAAAACTTCTAAGGGTCGGGCATTCAGTTCTTTTAGAGATACATTGCCCTAGAAGGGAAGACAGACATTATATTATGATGGATGACCTCTTTATGAAATAAAAGCTCCACTTTACAGCTGAATTGCAGCTTCTACATCTCAGAACAAAGGGTGACTGTGCTTAAGCCTCGGGTGTTGGGCAGACAAGTGCCTTAGACACACAAGAAACCTCCTCCTCTCACTCAGTGGGAAAGAGGGGAGTTTGTGAGGCACATAAAAATGAAAACAGTCTTTGACTTGGAAAAATTTAAGTTACCCAAGCCGGCTTCACTAATATTAAAGACAAACCTTTCTGAGTAGGTTTATGACTAAACAAGGCATTTCCTAAAAATGGGGAGTTGACTTACTGAAAAGAAGACACCGAAAACAGACTAAAGTCTACCCTAACACCAGAGTCTCCTTCAAAACAGTGCAGTATTTCTCTACTCTGAAAGAAATACATATAAACCAAGGACATTTTGTTTGTATATTCTGAGATTTTTCTATACCAAGGTCTCTCCCTCATACAAATTGACTGTAAAAATTGACTGCAAAAATAACGCATTTTGAAGCTTATTATAAAGTATTATGTTCAGGGGCGCCTAGGTGGCTCAGTTGGTTAAGGGTCTGCCTTCTGCTCAGGTCATGATCTCAGGTTCCTGGGATTCAGCCCAGCATGGGGCTCCCTGCTCAGCAGGGAGTCTGCTTCTCCCTCTCCCTCCCCCACCCCCTCATGCTCACTCTCCTTCTCGCCTATAAATAAAATCTTTAAAAAAAAAAGTATTATGTTCAAAAAATCCCCCAACACTCCTATGTTCAAATTTACATTTTATTTTTATCTCTGATGAACTCAGGGTCTAAATACACTATTGGAATGCTTAAACATTTAAGTATATTATTTGGGGGCTAATTCTGAAAATCTATGACAAATCAAACTTTAAAAGTTTTCATTTGGTTTCCCACAAGCATGAGTTTTGACATTCTTGTTATCCCCAAGAAAAGGTTTCATTCAGTGGTAGAAAGAAAACACATAAAGACATTTAAAGACCCAAATGTACAAATGAGTTTTTATGAAAAAAATAATAATAATGGGCATATGTAGTTGGACAACAGTAATTTAAAAAGACATTTTGTTGTATGCTTGAAACTAACATTATATATCAGTTATACCTCAAAAAAAAAAAAAAAAAAAGGCAGACTGCCAGTTGGACTAATCACCATGATTACTGTTAGTGCTAATATTGGAATTAAACTATTTCAGAAGATAAAAATAAGTAAGACATTGAACTGAAAGACCTTTACACCGTCAAATGAAATATTCACACTAGTCAAAAAAAAAAACTGTTTTATTTACCTTTCCTGTTGTCTGACCATATAAACCAAACATCTCTCGTAACCTCTCTTCACTGATGGCTTCAGGTCTGTCAATCTTATTCCCAAGAATCAGTATAGGCACATTAGCAATGGTTTCATCTGTCATTAGTGACTGAAACAAAACAAAATGAAAGACAAGATGTTGATATGAAACTATCTGAAGAGCGCCTTATGACAAGATACCAATGAGTATCAAGGACTCATTCTCTACCATAGCATGTCAGTTCTGCCAAATTTCATTGACAAACTTTTTGTACATTTGAAAGTAAGATCTGGGGTGCTTGGCTGTCTCAGTCAGTAGAACCTGCAATTCCTAATCTGAGCCTTGTGAGTTTTAGCTCCAAGCTGGGTGGAGAGAGGAGTTAAAAACAAAAAACAAAAAAAACTTAAACACACAAAAAAGTGAGCTCAAAGAAACTGTAAGCTCCTTGTGTAAATGCTCAACTCTGCTGCTCGCTCTGTGAATCACTAAGGGACTCTAAAACAAACACCTTGAAGCTGAGCAGACCTGGTTTCAATTCTAGTTCTACTGCTTATGAACTGTGAGATCTTGGACAAATAAGCCTCAATGAAGCTCAAAGCGAATTTGGAATAGTAGCACCTACCTTATGGAGTTGATCTGGGAATTAAATGATATAATATACATGTGCCTGGCACAAAGTAGGTAGTCAGGAAATCCCTGACCCTGTTCCATGACCACAGAACCTACCTGGACTTTGCCACATGAACAATTATTTGCCTGCTCTGGGCAGAGGCACAGTCAGGTCAAATCACTGCTTCCTCTGTGGTCCCAGATCAAGCCCTGGCCTTCCTGGCTGATCCTGAGCCACTTTATGAAGCATCTGACCTGGGAGAGGGGGAAGAGTAGTGCCTACACATGCCTCCACTCACTTGTAGAAGTGGTGACTAAGATAGCATGTTATACCATTTCCAGGTTCCGGCCAACTCCTGAAGAAAATGGCATCTAGGATGACCAGGGACTCAAGACCAAGGCACTCCAGGTATGCCACAGACATGAAATATACTACAAAGGTACACTGCACAGAGTGAGCTTAGGTCTTCAGGAAGAAAGTCTGTGCTAGTATGTCCTCAATAGCTACAATTACTCCAAGCTACTGTCTCTGTGTTCTAAGCAGAGTTAACCACTGAGCTCCATAAATTGCCAGGAGTTGTATCAGAGACTACAGAAAATCTGCACTCCGATACTTAGATCTCCAACCTATTTCTTCAAGCTTACCAGAGTGATTCAGCTACGTTTAGTTTTAGTTAACTTACATCAAGTTCTTCTTTTGATTCTAACAGCCTTTCATGGTCTGCACAATCCACCAGAAATACAATGCCATTGATAGCAGGAAGGTAGTTTTTCCACACTCTTCGAGCTAACAAAAACAATCAGGAGTTAGATTTTATTTGCCGGTCAAACCTAGCAGATGGTTTGATGGAAGAGTCCAACGAGAACCCAAGTTTAATTATCCCTTAGCTGCTACCACTTCACTATATATTCAAATTCATCTTTAACCCAGGGTTGCCAAATTTTCCCAGAGGACCAAGGAAGGCTTTCCTTGATGTGAGCAAGTCAAATATTTTACTCTGCTCCAGTTCTCCCAAGTTAGAAGTGGAATTATTATTTGCTACTAATGGACAATGATGCACATTAAATTCACTGGATGACTGCCACTATTTTAAAAATTTATATGCAATATTCATTTTCTGACATTTCAAGTTTAGCAGTTATTTTGCCACTGATAAATTCGGAGTCAGTGAAAGGAGGAAATTAGTGGGTACAGATTTGTTAAGTTAAAATAATAAACTGTTACAACAGAAATTAACTGAAGTCAACAAAACCTTTAGGATAATTTTTCTATGACATTATTTTTAGAGAAGTTTTAGGAGTGCCTTAGGGGTAAGCAACTTTTTACTGACTTCAGTTTTATATCTTAAAAGCAACACAGAAATTAAGTCTCAGACTCCATTAGGTTCCAATTCTCTCTAACCATTGTATTCTGGAGTATTTCATATATATTTCAAATAATTATAATGTCTCAAATGTGCATTCACTAGCCACAACCACCAAAATCTTTTCAACTATTTGTCACAGGAGCTTTAGAATGCCCACCAACTTTATAATATTCACTATTTATGAATTACCATATGCTGGGTACTGTCATGTCTTTTGGGGGACATAAGAAATACATTTGAGTTCCTGAAAGTTTAGTAGAGGAGGTAACACAGTCTTTTCCAAACTTGTAGACATTTACACAAATGCACTAAGCACCATGGAAATATAATTGAGAGCATTCCCAGGTGAGAATGGGAGGTAGCCACACGTACACTGGGCCCTGAAGGTGGGTTACTTATGTGCAGATGGGGATGGCATGTGCAAAAGCACAGAGAGGAAGAACACCAAGAGGGTTTTGTTTGGTTGGAGAACAGAGAATAGAAAAGGGAACAGGGGAAAATAAAGACTCAAAAAATAAACTGGGATCAGATTATAGAGATCTCAAATGCCAGGTCAATGAGTTTGGCTTCCATTTTGTAGGTCAGCCATTGAAAGTTTTTAATACAGAGCAGTAACATCATAACATGATTATGACAATCGGTGAAATGTGGATTAGAGCAGAGGACAGAGGCTAAATTTAGGTTACATGCTTTATACCAAAAGCAATTAAGACTTAAACTGACCAGGAGTATCATGAAAATCACTTTGGTTTAAAGCTTATCTCGTGGTGGGACGCCTGGGTGGCTCAGTGGGTTAAGCCTCTGCCTTTGGCTCAGGTCATGGTCTCAGGGTTCGGGGATCGAGCCCCACGTCGGGCTCTCTGCTCAGCGGGGAACCTGCTTCCTCCTCTCTCTCTGCCTGCCTCTCTGCCTACTTGTGATCTCTGTCAAATAAATAAATAAATAAAAATCTTAAAAAAAAAAAAGATTAAAAAAAAAAGCTTATCTCGTGGTAACAATTCTTAAATTTTAAGTGTACTCTGCCTTCCTTGAACAGAACAACATTTCATGAACTGGAAACTAATGGCCACATTTTTATTAAACTAAAACAGAGCAACTATAAGAGTAATAGAATCTTACCTTGCACATGTCCACCCAAATCAAAAGTTGTAAAGGTCATGCCAGCAATAGTTAGTTCTTCTGAAGCTAAATAACAATATGACAAGAAAATCATATATTCTTACAACAAGAAAATCAGATATCCATTCATGGTATATATTGCTACTTAATGTTTGATTAACTGCAAATGAGTTCAAATCAAACATTTAGGCACTAATACAAGAATTTGTTAAAATTAGATATACTTCAATTTATACTGACAACATAACACAAGTCGTGATAATATTCTAGTATTCACTAACCTCCACAAATCCAACACTTTTTTTCCTTCTCTCTCCTGCTGAAAATATTAACTATTCAGATAATTATTTGCTGTGAATTCAAGTAACTGCTCCAACCTAATAATTTTTTCTATAATTCTTCTTAGATGATACCAGGGAAATTTTCTCTCATGGCTGTCATATTACCAAGTGATGACAGTCTTTAATGATAAACATGGTTGCAATAAAAATTTTTGCTATGTCTTCAAATTTTTTTCTGCTCCCTTCCTCCCTTCCTCTCCTAGGACTTCAAGTATAGGTTGGCTAGACTGCTTTGTTTTTGTTTTTGTTTTTGTTGTAAGATTTTATTCATCTACTTGATGGACAGAGATCACAAGTAGACAGATAGGCAGGCAGAGAGAAAGAGGGAAGCAGGCCCCTTGCTGAGCAGAGAGCCTGAAGTGGGCTGATTCCAGGACCCTGGGATCATGACCTGAGCCAAAGGCAGAGGCTTTAACCCACTGAGCCACCCAGATGCCCTAAACTGCTTCCTATTTTCCCGCAACTCACTGAGTATCTGTTCATTTCACTTTTCTCTATGGTTCATTTTAAACACTTTCTATTATGTTGACTTAAGTTCACTGGTCCTTGCTTCTGCAGAACTGGCATTATTTTGTTGTTAATCCTATGGAGTGAAAATTTCAATTCAGTTACTGTTATTTTTTCATTTGTAGACGTTTCCACTTGGTTCTGTCTTGTATCTTCCATTTCTTTCCTCATTCTTTTCATGTTTTCCTTCAGTCCATGAGCACATTCATCACAGTTCTTTTGGCATCCTCATCTACTAATTCCATGATCTTAGTCACTTCTGGGTCTATCACTACTGATTGATTTTTCTCCTGGTTTTGGGTCACACTTTACTGCTTCTTTGCATGTCTAGTCATTTTTTATTCGATACTGGATTTCACTGTATTCCTTTGAAGTGAGGTGGACTTTGTGCTGGCAGACAGTTATACTGCTTGCAGATCAGTTTTTAAGTTTTGTTAGGTTACAGTTGTCTTTACTTTACCAGTACTTCTGCCCCATTACTAAGGTATGACCCTTCTGGAGTCTCTAGTGAATGCCAGGTCTCTCCTTTGCGGCTGGTGGGAATATGAATGGTTCCTGGGCGCATGTGAACTCTGAGAATTATTTGGTTAACAGCTCTGCTACAATTATTCTTTCTCCAGAAATTGTTTTTTGATTGGCCAAGGGGACTTTTACCCTATGCACATGGATTGGTATTTAGCCATGAACCTTTCTGCAGTTGTCTGTAGAGCTCCTTCCTCTCTGGTATTATGCCAAGCAAATTCTCATCACCTCAGTCTCTGTCTCAACTCAGCAAGGCTACTGGGTTATGTTTGGATTTCTTCACCATGGTCTGAAGATTATCTCTGTGGTAAAACTTGAATAAAGAAAGGTTTGTTTTCCTTCTCTCAGGAATCATAGTCCTGTGTTAGATATTGTCCAGTTCTGAAAACAGTTGTAGTATATATATTTGTCCAGTTTTCTAGCTGCTTACAGTGTGATAATTCCAGATGCTCTTACTGCCCCAGAACAAAAGCAGAAGTCCCCTACAATAATAATGAAAGGTTCAGTATAATTTTAACTATCCATTATATTGCTGAGGCCCCAGAGTATTTTATTAAAAATTCTTTATGTAGCCTCCCAACTGAATAAACCAATACAATTCGTGTTCAAAGTGTGTTCCTTTCCATAAGGTAAATATAATGCTTGAATTATATTTACTTAGGAAATTACCTTTATGGTTACAATCCCTAATACACTAATACACTCCCTACTTTATAAAATGTCCCAGTTTGAGTAAGACACAGAAAACTTTTAATATCCCAGGGAGTTTGCCCTTTCCCACTCACTGTCCACTCCCAGGAGTAATCTGAATTCTATCATCACAGGTTTGTTGCACCTGTTCTAGAATTTCTATAAATGATACCATACAGTATGTAACTTTTGTGATCATCTTCTTCCAAGCATCATAATATATACTGTATATAACAGTTATCCCTATTTCTTATTGAATAGAATTTCATCATTTATTCTTTTGATGGGGATGGGTATCTGCGCTATTTCCAGTTTGGGGCTATAACAAAGAAAGCTGATATAAACATTCTTGTACAAGGATTTTGGCGAATATATATTTTCATTTCTTCTTGATAAATACTTAGCAATGGAACTGTCAGATCATAAGGTAGATACATATTACCTTTATCATATATGTTCTTGATTAATGAAAAATGTTAAGATAAAATGAACAAGAATGGCAGGAAAGTTGAGATGGCAACTGTTTTGTGCCACTGCTTTCACTCCTCATACTTTGAACAATGTGTGACATAAAGTAGGTATCAATAAATATTTGATGAATAAAGGAGAGCAACATCAAAAATATAAAAATGGGGGTGCCTGGCCGGCTCACTTCATAGAGCATGCAACTCTTGTTCTCAGGGTTATACACTGAAGCCCCGTGTTGGGTGTACAGATTACTTAAAATCTTTAAAAATTTTTTTTAACTGACTTACACCTAATATAATACCACACCACTCTGTAGTCTCTTCCAACTGTTTTTGCATACAATTTATATACTCAATTTCACAATTATCATTTTTTTCTTTAATAGTATTGTTCTTGTATCAGAATCTTATTTGCCAAACTCCGCTCTTATCCTAATATAAAAAAAAGATGTATCAGTTTTATGAAATCTTCCTTTTCCAACTAAGAGTTTTATCGATAAAATAGTACTTTGTTTTTGTTATTCTTCTTCCTTGTTCTCTGTATATTTACTGAATTAAATAACTATCATATTATTATCTACTTTCTGGTCCAGTGCTCAATTTTATGCTGATTATTTAAATCTACACTCATTATTTCATAATTAATCTGTTATTAGCTTGTTTTTGAACTAGATGTTTAAAAAAATAAAATTAGAGGCACCGAGTGGCTCAGGGCATGATCACAGGGTCCTGAGATCAAGCCCCGCATTGGGTTTTCTGCTCAGCGGGGAGCCTGCTTCCCTTCCTCTCTCTCTGCCTGCTTCACTGCCTACTTGTGATCTCTGTCAAAATAAATAAATAAAATCTTTAAAAAAATGAAAAAACAAAACTTTATGTCTACTTGACTCATAGTCTTTTCAAGTGACAGAAGGTCACAGGTATTTAAATTAGGCTTCTATTCTAATAATTTTGTCACTTTAACATGAACTTTACTTTCTCAAATAGTACCATGATATAACCTTATATACTTACTGGATGGTATGTATTAAGTGATTTATAGAGTCATTGTTAATGTCATTCAGGCAGTCTTTCTTAAAGAAACCACAGTAAATTATTTTTCAAATTGTTCTAAAACTTTCTATAAATGTATCTGTATGTGCCCTGTTTTTTGGAATAATTCTATGGTCTTTATAACAGATACTTTGTTGAGGTTTCTCAGAGTAGAGAATTGACTGGTTAATAAATTGAGAGTCACTAGCAAAGTGTAAGACTATAATCTGTCCGCTGAATAAAGATTAGAAGTAGTTTTAAAACTTGAAAGAAATTTAGGTTATCTAAACAAGGTAACGGTGACTATTTATAGCCTAAGCAATATCTGGTTGGAAAGACCTCAATCATGTTAAAATCCCTGAGACAGTAACTTTAATTCCTCTACCTGAAGAAGGGTATACTAACTGAAAAAAACCTATGTGTATTATTTTAAGATCTAAATGTACTTCTTGGAAGTGGAGTGGGTTAGCTATGATTTATTATACTATTTTAAGAATAGGTCATATCACCTGATCATAATACACCAAAAAACACCAAAAGACAAAAAATTTTTTGTTAGTGCGTATGAACTGGTATCACTTGATAAAGTAACATGTTGTACATGGGAATATACTTACTGGGATGTAACGTTGGGACATGTTGTCCAAGTCTGTCATCTTTTAGCATGTGTAGCAATGTTGTTTTTCCTGCATTATCCAATCCAAGAAATACCAATTTACCGGTTTTCTTATATAATCCTGCAGAGTAAGAGCTATGATTAGTCAAAATTCTCTCTGACATAGATTATCCAAGCAAAAGACTTCAAATAAAAGTCTGGTATAACATTTACATAAGGAAAATATATTTTGAACTTGTAAGATTTTATAAATTGGCTTGAATAAGCTTGAATTTCTAGTCTATTTTTTGTTTTGAAGAGCTATTCTAAATCTGTCATGATTTGCAAGTTCAGGTCTTTTTTTTTTTTTTTTTAAGATTTTTATTCATTCATTTGACAGAGAGACAGAGAGAGCTAGAGATAGCACAAGCAGGGGGAGCAGTAGGCACAGGGATCTGACCGTGATCACAGGCTCATGACCTGAGCTGAAGGCAGATGCTCAATGGACTGAGCCTCCCAGGCACCCCTCAAATCATTTCAAAACTAAACTTTGTCCCAGTCATTGAATGTGTTACCTAAACCTGTCTCAATACCACAATGCTGATTCCCTTGACCAGTTAGGGATAAATAGCAATGTTCTCCATTAGAGAAATACTCGTAACATACTTGACATCATGTATTTATGAAGCTGGACCAAAAGGAAAATTAAAGGAATTTTCATGGTGGATAAAAAATTAAGCACTTATGACAATAAAAATCATAGTGAGTTTTTTCAATAAAAAGTTTAGGTCACTGTCAAATTTCCCTGAGAATATGGTTAAACTATTCACAGAACTGCCGAAAACTAAAGCAATAACAAAAAAAACCAAGCACATAATTTAGATGTATCAACCAATACTGATAGAAGTGACAGGAAAAAGAGCATTGACCAATTTATAAGAGATTGGCATTTACTGTGAAATTCAAAATTGAACTTTATTATTTTTTTTAAAGGTTTTTTTTCCCAGAGGAGTTTTAGGTTTACAACAAAACTGATAGGACAGTACAGATATTTCCAGTATCACTCACCAAAATGGTACATTTTTTTTTTTTTAAAGATTTTATTTATTTACTTGACAGAGAGATCACAAGGAGGCAGAGAGGCAGGCAGAGAGAGAGGAGGAAGCAGGCTCCCCGCCGAGCAGAGAGCCCGATGCGGGGCTCGATCCCAGGACCCTGGGACCATGACCTGAGCCGAAGGCAGAGGCTTAACCCACTGAGCCACCCAGGCGCCCCGTAAAAATGGTACATTTTTAACCAATGATGAACCTATACTGATACATCATAATCACCCAGAGTTACCTTAGGGCTTGGCTCATTCTTATTTTGTATATTCTGTGTTTTGATAGACATATAAGAACATACATCCATCATTATAATATCATACAAAGTATTTTCACTGCCCTAAAAATCCTGTATGTTCTGCCCGTTCATCCCACCCTTCCCCCACTGCCTGGCAACCACTCATCTTTTTAGTCTCCATATTTCTGCCTTTTTGCCTTGCCAGAATGTCATATAGTTGAAATCAAACAGTATGTAGCCTTTTGAGATTGGTTTCTTTTACTTAGTAATATGCATTTCAGCTTCCTCCATGTCTTTTCATGACTTGATAGCTCATTTCTTTTTGGTGCTGAATAATACTCCATTGTCTAGACGAACCAGTTTAGTTCTCTGTTCAACTACTGTAGGATACCTTGGTTGCTTCAAGTTTTGGCAATTACAAATGAAGCTGCTATAAAACATCAGTGTGCAGGTTCACATGTGGATCTAAGCTCTAAACTCCTCTGGGTAAATACCAAGGAGCACAACTGCTAGACTGTATGGTAAGAGTATGTCTAGTGTTGTAAGAAATCACCCAGTCTTCCAAAGTGTCTGTACCATTTTTTTTTTTTTTAAAGATTTTATTTATTTATTTGACAGACAGAGATCACAAGTAGGCAGAGAGGCAGGCAGAGAGAGAGAGGTGGAGGCAGGCTCCCTGCGGCACAGAGAGCCCGATGTGGGGCTCGATCCCAGGACCCTGGGATCATGACCTGAGCTGAAGGCAGAGGCTTAACCCACTGAGCCACCCAGGCACCCCAGTGTCTGTACCATTTTGCAGTCCCAGCAGTGAATGAAAGTTCTTACTGATCCACATACTTGTCAGCATCTGTTACTGTCAATGTCTAACTTTTGAACATTCTAATAGGGTATGTAGTAATATTGAACTTTATGTTTCATGTGTTTAATTGTCTCACACCCATGGAATTACATGAGCACTGGGGACATAGTAGCAATTCCAAAAATATTCATTCAGGCAGTAAATGAACTTTTAAAGACATAAGGCATTGTAATTCAGGTTACCCATTTAAATAAGTTCATGCCGGGGCGCCTGGGTGGCTCAGTGGGTTAAGCCGCTGCCTTCGGCTCAGGTCATGATCTCAGAGTCCTGGGATCGAGCCCCGCATCGGGCTCTCTGCTCTCTAGGGGAGCCTGCTTCCTCCTCTCTCTCTGCCTGCCTCTCTGCCTGCTTGTGATCTGTCAAATAAATAAATAAAATCTTTAAAAAAAAAAAATAAATAAAATAAATAAATAAATAAGTTCATGCCAAAATAATACCCAATTCTTTATCCACATTGAAGCTTAAGAAGTAAATTGTTTAAAGTCATAATCTTTTTTTTTTTTTTTTAAGTCCTAATCTTTTGATAACCCAGTGACCAAGAGTTCTGATCCTAAGGGGAAGACTGTCTTCCATATTTACTTGAGCTGGGATACTACATTTCTTATTTAATCATGAATTGTGACTAATACTTTTTTATACATTTGTATTTCTTTTTTTTTTTTTTTAAGATTTTATTTATTTATTAGAGAGAGCAAAAGCAGAGGGAGGGGGAGAGGGAGAGGGAGAAGCAGACTCCCCACTGAGCAAGGAGCCTGATGTGGGACACCATCCTAGGACCTGGGATCATGACCTGAGCCAAAGGCAGACACTTAACAAACTGAACCACCTAGGCACCCTGACATTTCTATTTCTTAAAATGTTTCTAAACAGATTGTTTCTAACCAGTGCAATCACAATCAATCTTACCATCTTTTTAAGTAGTAGAAGCGCACTGGGTAAGATTCCAAAAGGGAACACCTACAACATTTCAACTTTAATCTTTAAAGTGGGTTGGACTAAATCCTTATCTTGTGACAGGCACTATTAAGCAAGCTGTTACACATTATGTAATCCTCAAAATAACTCTTTTAAGTAAATACTATTATCCTCTTTTTTACAGAAGGGAACAAAGGCTTAAAGTTAAGTTGCTCAAATGCTGAAGTTAGATGTAAGATTTGAAATCACACCTGATGCCAAAGCTTTGGTTCATTTCATTTCTCTATACTGCCTCCCACTGTTAGCCCTATTAACCTCTTGCTCCTGCGTATGAGGCAATTTATTTTGCTTTTTCAACATAGTTCAGCAGACATTAATTTTTCTATAAACTGAGATATAGATACCAACCTGTTACAACCTGGGTTATCCCAGTATAATGAAGTTTAAAATGTTTATTTCTGACCCAGCTGTTGCAAATATGTAAAAAAATATTTCAATCTGATAAAAATATTTAAGAGCTCTTGAGGAGGTAATGTAGAGAGATCGGATATTTGACCTGTAGTAGAGTGACATTATAAAAATGTGAGGAATTTTATTTTAAAAAGGAAAAAAAAAAACCCCAAACCTTGATTTTAAAAAATGTGCAAACATTGAGGTCTAAATAAGAAATAAAAATAGACTGACAAAATTTGATCTTACATTTTTGTCCTTTTAATACATAGTAATCAAACAAAATGTGTATTTTTCAAACAAAATTTATTTCCTTTGTTAAAATTATGTTTATGGAAAAAGAGCCATTTATATAGAAGATGATAATTCATAAGTATGGTTGTGGCCAGTGAGGAATTATGTTGACAACTCTGTAATTACATGAAATGCGTCTCTTTGTTCCAGTTCAAGATGATGATTACATGGAGACTAAACTTAGGGCATGATTTGAAAATAAAAGACCAGAAATATCTTCATTAATTACTACAATAATAAAATTGTATACATCAGAACATAAAAGTTAATCAAAAGCTTGTTTCACTGGAAAATGTGAGAAGTTGAGAGTGTAAATAAGAGAATGAGATGCTAAAATTTTTCCTCTTTAAAATCTAGAAGAGAGGAAAATCACTAGTCAGATTTGCTGGGTATACAAGTCTTATTTAGCAGATTATATGCTGCCAGTTATGATATACAAGGTACTTTATGGAACGTGCATTTTATAGTAACAAAAATAAAGCAGAGAATTCCTGTGAGTATTAAATGAGATAAAGTATCTAAAGCACTTGGATAAAGTGGCTAATCAAAGGTAGCTACTCCTGTAAATAATATTCCTATCAATAACCTTAAGGGGTAGGAATTATTTTTATTTTACAGATAAGGAAACTAAGGTTAAGGTGGAAAAAGTAATTTGCCCAAGACTACATAATTTACAAGTGACACAATGAGTAACTACATTTGTATGATTTCTAAGCTCACATTCACAACTACTGGGTTATAGTATAAAGAGGCTCTAGACAAATAAGCACTTTTATTTAAGTAGGATTAAATGGGATAACAATAAAGAACAAAGAGCCAACATACCTAAAAACTGTAGCACACTGCTGAAACCACTGTAAATCCAGTCAAATATGAAGGACATATTGAAATCTTACTGGGTCTGGAAAAGAAAGTGTTTGAATTCAGTAGTCACCATTTAACAACATTAAACATGAACTCTGAGTAAATAATCCTACAAGAACCTTACTATTAAGGAGTCAGCCACTCGTATCCAGGGTGGTCTTTTTTTTTTTTTTTTTTAAGATTTTATTTATTTGACAGAGAGAGAGAGAGAGAGAGAAATCACAAGTAAGCAGAGCAGAGAGCCTGATGCCGGGCTCAATCCCAGGATGCTGAGATCATGACCTGAGCCAAAGGCAGAGGCTCAACCCACTGAGCCACCTAGGTGCCTGTATCCAGGGTGGTCTAATCTGATATATACTGATGCATTTAAAAAAAAAAAAAGGCCATTAAAATACAAACTAGTGGGGTGCCTGCCTGGCTTAATTGGTAGAACATTTGACTCTTAATCTCAGGATCCTGAGTTCAAGCCCCACGCGGGCTGTAGAGCTTACTTTAAAAAAAAAAAAAAAAAAAGGGGGTTGGGGGGGGTGGATGTCATTAAGTGTCTGCCTTTGGTTTGCATCACGATCCCAGGGTCCTGGGATGGAGTCCCTCACCGAGCTCCTTGCTCCTCAGAGAGCCTGCTTCTCCCCCTGCTTGTTCTCCCTCTCTCTCTCTCTCTCTGACGAATACAAAAAATCTTAAAAAAAGAAAGAAAGAAAAAGTAAAAGCTCTTTCCATTTTTAAAAAACCCACCAAAAGAAAGTGACTAAAAATAAGAAACAACAACAACAACAACAACTAGAGACCATTACTTGCCAATCAGAGTGGCAAACACGAAAATGAAGTGTAACAGCCAGAACTGGAAAAAATGTAGTAAGAGAGGCAGTTAGTGGCAGTATAAATTGGTACAAATCTTTTTAACAACTAATTCAGCAGTAATAGATGTTATACTGCTTGACCCAAGAATTCTTATTTGTTTATTTATTTATTTACTTATTTATATAAAAGATAGGCTTTATCTCACAACCCTGAGATCAAGACCTGAGTTTGAGATGAAGAGTGGGATGCTTAATCAACCGACCCCCCAGAAATCTCCCCAAGAATTCTACTTTTAGAAATTGTCCTAAATACAGACAATCTTTATGTATAAAAGATGTGCATCAAAGCATTATGTAAGAAAATTTTTGGAAATAATCTATATTCAACAGTAATTTAAATGAAGTATATATGGTCTATGAAATACGTACCAAAACCTTAGAGTGGGGGAAGGAAGAGCAAAGAGAAAGAGATGAAACAAGGAAATTTATGATAATTAAGTAAGTTTTCCAAGTCTGATTATACCTAAGTGGAGTAAAAACCCACTTTCTGTTACTTTTGGTCTTTTATAGCAGATGGTAATAGGTGGCAAATTTGGGGGTCTATCATCTTTCTGCATTTTTCAAATTTTAATCATATTACTAAATATTAAAAAAACATTTTCTTAAATCACAGTAGAAAATGCAGAGCATAGTTTTGTTTAGCATTAACTTGACATGGCCTGATAACTAATAAAGCTAATATGGAAAGAAAAGGGAAAAAATCCTGGAGAAATGAAAGATCACATACACAAAAATACATTTTCAGACAACAAAGTTCATTTTCTTTTTTTTTTTTATCTTTTTTTAAAAGATTTTATTTATTTATTTGACAGAGAGAGATCACAAGTAGGCAGAGAGGCAGGCAGAGAGAGACGGGTTAGAAGGTTCCCCACTAAGCAGAGAGCCGGATGCGGGGCTCAATCCCAGGACCCTGACACCATGACCTGAGCCGAAGGCAGAGGCTTTAACCCACTGAGCCACCCAGGCGCCCCCAAAGTTCATTTTCTAGAGCTAAACAAAACTAAGGCCCAAATTTGGGCCAAGTCCTACCAATGCGAAAAGTTCTGCTATCTTTGACATTCTTTAGACAAGTGTGACACACAACACTTCTTTTTCTTAAGATTTTATTTATTTATATGACAGAAGCACAGCATGAGAGGGAACACAAGCAGGGGGAGTGGGAGAGAGAGAAGCAGGCTTCCCGCTGAGCAGGGAGCCCCATGCAGGACTTGATCCCAGGACCCTGCGATCATGACCTGAGCTGACCTGAGCTGTTGGCAGATGCTTAACTACTGAGCCACCCAGGTGTTCCACAACACTGCTTTCTTTAACCATTTCCGTCAGTGGGTTGCCAACCTTGATCCAGGCAGGCCCACCGAACTCAAGGATTGCTAGATGATAAGGTGTTAGGAGATTACATTGCATTGAAAGTGAGAGACAAAAGAGACACCTACCTCCAGTTTAGGAGTCCTAGCAGTATTTACTAGGATATTCCCTGGATCCAGGCAATAGCCTCTCCCCTCTTTCATCGCCTTACTTTAACTCGCAAGAGCAAAATTTTGTTCTTGCAATCAGTCCATTCCTGACTGAGAGTGACTCACAAATTATGAAGTTTCATGTGTCGGTAGCACAAGAATGAGAACTAGAAGAGCCACAAATATATACAAAAATCCAGGGATGCACGGGTGGTTGAGTTGGTTAAGCACCTGCCTTTGGCTCAGGTCACGATCTCAGCATCCTGGGATCGGGTCCCATATCTGGCTCCTTGCTCAGCAGGGAGCCTGTTTCTCCCTCTGCCTGCTGAGCCCCCTGCTTGTGCACACATGCGCTCTCTCTCTCTGACATAATAAATAAAATCTTAAATCCCAAAAACTCTCTCCTTCTGACCCTCACCACCGCTCGCTTGCTCTCTCTCTCTAAATAAATAAATCTTAAAAAAAAAAAAAATCCAGTACCTTAGAAATTCTTATTTTACTCAAGTTGAAAATTATATCTCATTCTTTATTATTCTTCTAGGTCACGTAGAAATTTGAAACTTGTAGTCACAGAAAATATATATAAGGGACTTACCTTTCCTGAAGATTTTTAGGTAAGATGTTTATTTTTCAAATAGAATCATAATTTTTACTGCAGGGAATCAAATTAAGCAGTGGTATATTAAGACATTTTATTTAATTCTAATGATTACCAAATTCATATTATGTCCAAGATACTGAGCTAGACACCATACAGGATACAAATATGATAATAAACATGACTCTTTCTCTTGAAAAGGTTATAGTCTAGAGAGGTAAGTTAGCTACACAAATATAATTCAATTAAAAAATGTTAAAACTGAATAGGATATTATCTAGGATGGTAACAACTTACCCTATAGAATTTCAAAATTTATACAAACACAAAGAAAAAAAAACTGACCATACTAAAAATCTTAAGCTATAAATGGATTAATAATCCGAACAGTGGAAAATCAGAATAAAAGAAGTAATGCAGTAAGAAGGGGTATGGTATGCTCACAAATGACTTTATGTTCTGTATAGAAAAAAGAGAAAACCAGTCCTCCTTGTCTCTACATCCACAGTCCTATTTCCCCAGTTCTACAAAGGCAGCAAGTTGTAGCTAAGGAAAGGTTTCTTGGATGATGTTCAGCCTGAATCTTGAAGATTAAATAAGAGTTTGCTAAGTGGTTATTGGTTGTTATACTATGTGCAGAGGTGTGAAACGAAGTGAGGACAGCAAAAACTCAGGTACTGTGATGGGACAGGTTAGGGGGCTGCAAACAGCGTTAGTCAACAGATGGTCACAAGTGAGGCATAAGTCAGAATGAGGAACAAAGATATCTGAGACTAAATTTAGGTGTTTGGTCTCATGCTTCCTACTTGAAACATTTGGACCTAAGAAACAATATTGAATCAGTCTTTCAATTTAACAAAGCAAAGCTCACAAGAAGTAGCAGCTACCCCTGTAAGCATTATGATTTGCTGAAAGGTTAAAAACAAGAGCTACAGGGGCACCTGGCTCAGTGGGTTAAAGCCTCTGCCTTCGGCTCAGGTCATGATCCCAGGGTCCTGGGATCGAGCCCCACATTGGGCTCTCTGCTCAGTGGGGAGCCTGCTTCCTTCTCTCTCTCTGCCTGCCTCTCTGCCTACTTGTGATCTCTGTCTGTCAAATAAAATAAATAAAATCTTTAAAAAAACAAAACAAAAAAAACAAGAGCTACAGAGCCAGGACTTTACCACTAACCTTAGACAAGTTATTTCAATTTCCTTACCTGTAAACTGGGGACAGTAATAGCTACCTGAGATGGCTGTGAAGATTAAATCCATTACTACACACAAAGCACTTAGCAGCTGGCATGGAAGAAGCATTCATCGTTAGCTGTTCTATTTCTCCTACCATGTGGACACAGGACCAGGCACTTTGTGGATGTCACCACTAAATACCCCAACAACCTTTCAAAGTAAATATTATATTATTTTTATTTTTAAGTAGGCTCCATGCCCAATGTGGGGCTTTAACTCAGGACCCCAAGATGAAGAGTCACATGCTCTACTGACTGGGCCCCAAAGTAAATACATTACTGTTCCATTTTACAGAAGAAGAAACTGAAGTTACAATAACTAAATTTCAAGTATTAGGGATTGTCACATTCAAGTTCCAAACATGGGTCTTTCTGATTTCCAGGTCCATTCCCTTTCTCTTACATTGCAGTGGCTTTATGACAGTTTTAAAGGTTTAGATTTTCTTTTCTTTTTTTTTTTAAGATTTTTATTTATTTATTTGACACAGAGGGGCGCCTGGGTGGCTCAGTGGGTTAAAGCTTCTGCCTTTGGCTCGGGTCGTGATCCTAGGGTCCTGGGATCGAGCCCCGCATCCGGCTCTCTGCTCTGCGGGGAGCCTGCTTCCCCCCCGCCCCCGCCTGCCTCTCTGCCTACTTGTGATCTGTCTGTCAAAAAAAAAAATCTTATTTATCTGACAGAGAGAGAGAGAGAGAGAGAAAGAGAGAACTAGCAGGGGAAGTGGCCGGCTGAGGGAGAGGGGGAGGGAGAAGCAGATTACCTGCTGAGCAGGGAGCCCGATGTGGGACTCAATGCCAGGACCCTGAGATCATGACCTGAGCTGAAGGCTGAGGCTTAACCGACTGAGCTACCCAGGCATTCCAAGGCCTAGATTAAATATATATATATATATATATATA